AAGAGGTGGGGGTGGGTGGCAAGAGAAAGTTGCTGATCCCGAGAGCAACACTCCTTTGGCTACATTTTTCCGGATTCAAACCATTAATCTCTTTCAGTCAGGAGAAGTTACAGTAACAGCAGAAACACCAATTGCAGGTGGAACAGATCTGGCAGATGTTCTAGAAAAAGAGAATTATTTAAGATTCAGAACATTTCAGAGATTTGGAAAGAAAATTTGCAGAATTTAAATGTGACAGCAGAGATTTCCTTAAGGAAGTCAAGGTTATATATCTAAAAAAATGTTATCTTTCAAAGGATTAAGAGTCTGCTTTTTCTCCTGTGAAATAAGTATTCAAGTTCTCATTGGTACAAATCTACAAAAAGCCTTTTTTTGTTACATTGGTCTTTCATCCTTCTTACAGTGTCTTTCCAGTTCCTGACACAAGCAACCTAATCTCTTAGAAAGAAAACGTCATCCTCCTCATCTTCCCTACCTCTTTTATTCTGAAGTTGGGATTAATGCCGTAGGAACTTTAATTTCACTACCTCACTAGAGACCTGTTCTGAATGGAGGAAGAACCTCAAAGGGAAACTGAGCATTCTGTAGTAGTTGTCTGGCAAGTTAGCCTTTCTACAGCAAACCATCACGTACTGGTTATCTAAAGACAGAAATAGAATTCTTGAGTCAAGTGGCATATAAATGCCCAGATACTTCTGAGGTCTGTGAAACACCTACCAGCATTTGATTTTCTTACATTTTGTTTTAAAGGGTTTCTGTTATGTGTTATCTGAAGCCAATTTGAGACAGCTCATTATTAGTGTCCAGTATTGGAGCCTTCCTGTTGTCTCCAAAAAGATTCTTTTCCATGTAAAGATTCTTGAGTTTGTAAAAAAATGGAAGTTTACAGGCATAAATATACCCAGACTTCTTGCAGAAGCCCAAGTCAAGAGTTTAACCCATTCCTTTTAAAACATAATATGGAAAACTGAAGCCTGTGCAGTGGATTTTGTATTCGACAGAGTCCCATATACCCACACTTCTTATATATATGGAAAAGGAAAACTGTGACTTACTGCACTAGGTTTTACAAGTTTGAGGGGTTTGTAGTTGTATTGTTGACTCCCTCTTTCCCCTCCCTGTAATATTTCAGAATTAAATTAATATTTGTTAATGTAAAATTAAAAAAAAAAAAATATTTGGATCAAATATTTAATTTTGAGCTTAATCTTTTTTCTTAACAAGTAGAATTAACCCCCAAATCACAAAAAACTCATACTTTTCAGACTAAAACAGGTCAGCTGTTTTGGAGTAGATGCTTTTCCTGCAAATGGAAGAAAAGAGAGATAAGAGTGAAAAGACTGAGAAACAGTAAGTATGTAACAGCTGTAGAGTGTTCCTCTTGTTTAGATACCTAAACCTG